GACTGTCTGTAGGACTTCCCTGAGCCCACCCACCTCTAATGGGTACCTGACTGTATGTAGGACTTCCCTGAGCCCACCCACCTCTAATGGGTACCTGACTGTCTGTAGGACTTCCCTGAGCCCACCCACCTCTGATGGGTACCTGACTGTCTGTAGGACTTCCCTGAGCCTACCCACCTCTGATGGGTACCTGACTGTCTGTAGGACTTCCCTGAGCCCACCCACCTCTAATGGGTACCTGACTGTATGTAGGACTTCCCTGAGCCCACCCACCTCTAATGGGTACCTGACTGTCTGTAGGACTTCCCTGAGCCCACCCACCTCTGATGGGTACCTGACTGTCTGTAGGACTTCCCTGAGCCCACCCACCTCTAATGGGTACCTGACTGTATGTAGGACTTCCCTGAGCCCACCCACCTCTAATGGGTACCTGACTGTCTGTAGGACTTCCCTGAGCCCACCCTCCTCTGATGGGTACCTGACTGTCTATAGGACTTCCCTGAGCCCACCCACCTCTGATGGGTACCTGACTGTCTATAGGACTTCCCTGAGCCCACCCACCTCTGATGGGTACCTGACTGTCTATAGGACTTACCTGAGCCCACCCACCTCTAATGGGTACCAGACTGTATGTAGGACTTCCCTGAGCCCACCCACCTCTAATGGGTACCTGACTGTATGTAGGACTTCCCTGAGCCCACCCACCTCTAATGGGTACCTGACTAACGTTAAGGAAAGTTAAGGCGGCTGGGCATAGTGCTGACAATGTTCAACATTACAAGTTAACTTTATTTCATCAGCCCTTAAGGTTTGAAAGGGTACTGTTTAAATATAAGTTAATATAAATAACTATTTAAGGAACTGTTTTAAGAAAGAGTGTAGTATTAGTTAGTATACATAGAAATAGAAAATATTTGTATGTGTAGCTGATATCATGGTCTCGTTTAGCAAACAGTGGTAGTTTTTGTAAACATTGTCGTGCTAATATGAACTTATATTTTTCAGCTCCAACCTGCTTTACAAGACTACAGTTTCTGGATTTTTCGTTAGTCTTTCGTAGTTTAGTATTTTATTTACTCATGAAATAAAATTTTCTTACAGCTACTTCTTAAAAATTATTGAATCTGACTACTTGTTTGTGTTAGGACAAAAAGTGGCCGGTAAAATAACGATATAGCGTCGGTTATTATTCCGGAACTGTACAGCAGTAAAAAAAAATAGTAAAACCATGGCGTAGGCTGTCGAGCCGTTCCGGAAACCACCGGAAGTACTGTAAACCATAATTTATTTGCCGCCATATTATTTTTAATACATAATGTTTAAAAATGTGCAAGGATTGATTTTAGTTGCATTTTAAAAAAATACTGTTTTGCTAATTATTTTGTATTTCTAATTATTTTAAGTGTATGTGTTAATTATTGCTGCTACTAAACATTATTCTAGTTATTCTTACTACTTTTAACTTTAGTAAATCTAATCGTCTTATTTACTAACAGAACTAGAGCTGATTGTCGCAAATCTTCTGCAGGTTTTTTCTGTTTCTTAAAAAAAAACATTAATTACTGCACTCGACTTTATTAATAATATTTAGATTTACTAATTGTTGCTAATGTTTTGTCAGTTAAACATTAAATTAAGTTAAAACATTAATTTAATGCACTTGACTTTATTTTTCTTTCAACTGTCAAATAAACAATGGTTTACAGTAACGAATGTTACCGAAACTCAACGAACATTACCCAATAATTTCCGACGCTATATCGTGATTTTACCAAGTGGCCCATGTCATATTGACATTATGGCGCCCGATAAAATCAAGGACTATTTGTCACAAAACTAATGAGAACCCGATAAAAGGACTCCCGTCGAAAGTTCTTCCATATTGGCTACAGACAAAATGCCACACAACATTTGGCTCCTAACAGAAGTGTACTCAAATGTGAGACGGAAAGCGCATAAGTGCCTCACAAGGGACTTAGATAAGCAGAGGATTTTGGAAGCAGGCATTGTTAATGAAATGACAAATGTAAACATAGAGTATTGATACTATGTCGATGGTAGACAGGAATGCAATAACATTTTTAATGAAAACAGCATATTATTACAATGTCGAAGGTACACAGAGGTACGTCATACTTGATTATGTGCGTATGTCTAGCTTCGGCATTGTTTTGTAAAGATACTCTATTTACATTTGTTGTTCATTTTGTTGCAGTCGCCTTAAATGAGTTTGATTTACGGGGAATATTGTGTCCAGTGTTTCTTCCAGACTTTTTTTTTCTCCGGGGGGGGGGGGGGGGCACTTGAAATTTTCGGGGGTCGGTAGACTTTCTTCTGGGGGGCGGACACTGTATATATTTTCAATATAAATTATATAAATTTAATTTCGTTCGGGGGGGGGGGGGGGGGGGGGCGGTAAAAACAAATTCGGGGGGGGGGCTTTGCCCCCCCTCCCCCCGAAGAGATGCCTAGAAGAAACTCTGATTGTGTCGCTGGTTACTTAAAAGCTGCGCCATCTACATGTAAAAAGTACTGGGTACTACATTATTTCTGTTTCAGGCCGGCAGCACTGCATCTGTGGGGATGTTATGGGACTGAAGTTGGGTTCTTTCATAAGCTGACACTGAGACATTAATTGAACACGCTTGTTGTTGTAAGCTAGATGGAGATTTTTTTATTTATTATCGACGAGTAAACGATGGTGACTGGGTATAAAATGACAATAAGGTATGAAATGCCGACGTATGTCCCATTGACGTAGAGCCTTAAATAACGTAAACACGAATAGGTTATCAAACGCATGACTTAAACGTGTGCTAATGCTTGCCAAAAAAAACAACAACTCTGTTATTAACAGCCTCCTCCTCTATTGATAATAAAATCTAAATTAATACTAAATGATATTGCCAACATTCTAGTGAGTGTCCGAAGAGCCTGTTACGTCGGACTCCCAAGTCCCCTACATAATAGCGTGGGGGAGGAGGGGTGCAAGACTGCCGGGAAACAAGAAGGGTTTGCTCTCGACCCTAATCAGATATCTTGACTTTAAGCTGCGGCCTTCACGTGGCTTCGGAACTGTGCCATTAGTCAGACCAAGCTCATGACCCCCCTAATGGGTGCGTAATGGCTAGTGGTAGCCAACAGCAGCTAGAGGTTTTTGATCTGGCCGAGTAGAACTGCTGTATGCGCTAGGTTCAAAAAATGGCCGAACGCCCCCCCCCCCCCTCCCACGATCAAGCTGGGTACCAGGCGGTAGGACGACGCCCCGCGTCTGGTGGGTGGGGAAGGATAGCCAGGTGAGAGCCCACGGAAGTAGCGACCGATGTGTGGGAAACTCTTATGGTCGGAGTTTGCTACACTGAGGCCTGCCTGGCTAATGGAAGTCAACCTTCTGAGCGGGTTTCCGAATAAGGAAGGAAGGAAGTGAGTGTCCGGTAAAAAGTAATGCCTACCCCAAAATACCATTTTAAATTTCGCTCACAAGAGCAATAAACAAACTGAAAATGCAGACCACAGGGCCTGCAATAAGGTGTGTTACAGACCTAAATGTTAGGCCTATAATGGCAGAAAAAGTGCATCGAAATTCATGGAAATTAAAGGAAATGTGTAAGAAGGCTTTACTTTCCTCTAATCGAGTCTCCCGTCAGAAAAACGGGTACTGACTTATATTATAATAATATATCCTTCAGCCAGGAACATGAGACTTCTGGGATAGTTTTTATTTATTTAAGTGTTTGATAAATGGTACTCGTTTTGTTTTAAACATATTGAAAGTATATTTAACACAGGAAACAAATGACATAAATAGAAAACCACCCGTATACACATTTTATTTATTAAGATAAAACATGTATTTATAATTTTAGACAAACTATGGACATACTAAAACATTAACTGATCAACATCTATAATATTTTTTGTGTGCCTCAGACAAGTAATTTACAATGTCAGTTTGCCTTACCATGTTCGGTTTTGTATTACAGTTTTTGTCATCGGCTTGTGAGGACTGATACTGATTTACAATAGCAATACTTCTTTCTCATCACTTTCTGACGTACTTTCATTCATGGAAAATGTTTTAATTATACATAATACAAAACATCTAATTTCAATCTCATTCATGGAAAATGTTTTAATTATACATAATACAAAACATCTAATTTCAATTTCATTCATGGAAGATGTTTATACATAATACAAAACATCCAATTTCAATTTCATTCATGGAAGATGTTTATACATAATACAAAACGTCTAATTTCAATTTCATTCATGGAAGATGTTTATATTATACATAATACAAAACATCTAATTTCAATTTCATTCATGGAATATGTTTAATTTATACGTAATACAAAATGTCTCATTTCAATTTCATTCATGAAAGATGTTTACATTATACAAAGTACACAATGTCTAATTTCAAATTTACTATTAAACCTGAAAATGTAAATGGTGATTCAATGTTCTGTGGAGAAAACAAAAATCCTCTTATTCAAAATATGTAAAAAAGAAATGTTCTTTATCCCTGAAGAGTACTACATTGCCTTTTGTTTCTTTTTATATTTAAACATTTTAAAAAAGCCAAAATAAATAAATATATCTTTTAAAGTTTTGTACAGTTTCAAGACAAGATCATAAAGTGTATGTGTAATCATTAAAGGAAGAGAGTCAACTGGGATAAAAACTAAATTAAAATTATCATTAGCGGATACAATAATGTTCCTTCCGACAGCTTAGTGCACTGTCACTAAAGTATAAAGCTCAAAATGGACTTTGTATAATTATGTTTGTTTATGAAAGGCATGCTTACAGTGAAATCTCCACTTAAATAACAATGTGCAATATTATTATGGTCTTAATTTTTGTACTTTAACTAAAATTGATGACAAGAAAACTCAATATTTATCATTTTTAAAACAAGTCTACATTTTTTTAACATAACTTTTAATTAACCTAAACTGCAGAAAACAAAATAAAAATAAACTTATTATCCTTCACAAAAATCATAGTTCTATCTGAAAAGTTATACAAATTACTTCCATTTACATTATATTAAAGATGATGAACAAAATTTAAAACAACAGAAAACAAATTCAAATTTGTGTTTGTAAATTTGACTGTGTTTGTGTATGCTTGCACAAATTGATATCTCTAACACAAGCAGCACCCAACATTTGCTGCTTAATAAACACACAAGTCACAGTCTTTTACAGATATGTTTTTCACTATGGCCAGTGCAGAGCTTAACAAGCCAGTAACTTATAAGCACAAAACATTCTGTACAAAACATTAAATTTTAAATCTAAACATGAAAAGATTTTTTAGTAATTAAATTTTCGTGACAAAACAGTTACATTTGTATGCTTAAGAGTTTCCATATTTTTACTTGACAAATGAATCTTAGACTGTGATAAATACTTCATTAAACTTCTGAACAGTTTCAATTTATCCAAAATATTTTAACTTAAGAAATACAATCCTATTGCTTACAGTTAAGTCTATTAAGAAATTTCCCAGGTGGTTTTTATAATATAGAAAGCAATTTTATGTCTAAATGAATATTGTCTTTAGGTACAAATTGTTTTCGGATACCAGCACAGTAGTGGTTGAGAAGCCCAAAGAAAAATATACAATTTTAAGGAATCAAATATCATATTTTTATGCTGGCTATTATAATGTCAATGTACTAGTACTAGCAAGTAACAGCAACAATAAATATTATTCATGCCACACAAACACTTCTCATAAACATTTTTTTTTCAATTCTTTCCTACAAAGATCAAGTTAATTTTATGTTAAATTAAAACTGAACAAACTTTTTTTTCACAGAACAAAATACTGAATAAAGTTATCTTCCTTTGTGTTTCTTACCCTAATTAAGGATATTATTTCAAAATTAAATTATTTAATTAGGGGCCTAAACTAAAAACTCATGGTGCTTCAACTTTGATTAAATTGTCTTCTTTTGTGTTACATGAATCATCATAGTCATAATATACTTTTATTGATGTATCCGACTTATGGATTTTCTTATGTCTTGCTAAGAGAGTCTTGTTAGAAAATTTGATAGGACATTCATCACACTTGTGAAGTTCCTCACGAAGATGTTTTTTTTTATGTTTAATTAAATACGTTTTGACAGAGAAAGTTCTCAGACATACATCACACTCATGTGGCTTCTCTCCGGAATGAATAATAATATGTTGATTCAAAGAACTCCTAGACGATAATTTTTTATGACAAACATCACACTCATAAAACCCTCCACCAGAGTGAAATTTTTTATGATCATTAAAATTATGTTTAAAAGAGAAAGTTTTAAGACAAATATCACACTTATACGGTCTCTTTCCTGAATGAATGTTTTTATGTTGTGCCAAATACTGGCTAGTGGCAAACGTTTTATTACATACATCACACTTATGCAGGCCTTCTTCAGAATGTTTTTTTAAGTGTCCCATTAAACTTCTTCGGAAAGCAAACTTTTTAAAACATACATCACACTGATGCGGCCTCTCGTCTGAATGAAGGATTTTATGTTGTTTTAAAGAACGCATAGAAACAAATATTTTATGACAAACATCACATTTTTGTCCTCTCTCAGCAGAATGTGTTTCCCTGTGTCTTACTAAAGAAAGCTTTGTGGCAAAGATTTTAAGACAAACATCACACTTATGTACCATGTCTCCTGTATGAATAGATTTATGTTTTGCTAAATAATCAGCTCTAGAGAATTTTTTACCACACACTTGACATTCATGAGATTTTTTTTCTAAATGACTCTTTTTATGCCTCCTTAGAGCTGTTATTGTTGAACATTTCTTATGACACACAACACATTCATATAACATCTTTCCTGCATGGATGTTTTTATATAGTTTTAAATAACTTGACAAAAAGGATTTGGGACGCTCATCGGGATGTATTTTTCTATGTCTTGCAAGACAAAGGAAAGTAGCAAATTTTTCATGACACACTTTACACTCGTGAGGTCTAAATTTGGAATGAGTAGCTTTATGTCTTGCGAATTCAGTACGAGCAAACTTTTCAAGACACACATCACATTCTATTAGCTCAACTCCTAAATGAATATTTTTATGTTTTCTTAAATTACTTCTAAAGGCAAACTTTTTCAAACATACGTCACATTCATATGGTCTCTCCTCTAAATGAATGCGTTTATGTCGTGTCAAATAATCCTTAGAGCGATATTTTTGATGGCACACATCACACTCATATGGCCTCTCTTCAGAATGAATTTTTTGGTGCCTTTCTAAACAAAATTGGTTAGCATATGTTTCATGGCATACATCACACTCATGTGGCATATCTCCTGAATGAATTTTTTTATGTTGTGTTAAATATATCATTGCTGTAAACATTCTCCCACACACATCACATCCATGTGATCTTTCTAAAAAATGGGTTTTTCTATGCCTTTCTAAAAAAATTTGTTTCAAAAACTTTTTATGACATACATCACATTCATGTGGCAAGTCTCCTGAATGAACTTTTTTATGCACTTTTAAATAAGTACTTGAAGAAAACTTTTTACCACACTGGTCACACTCATGTGGTCTTTCTCCTGTATGAGTTTTTCTATGCCTTTTTAAACTCACACTTGTAGCCAACTTTTTATGACATATTTCACATTCATATAGCTTTTCTGAATGACATGTTTGATGTTCCTTTAAATAACATTTTAAAGCAAACCTTCTATTACATATTTCACATTCATGTGGCATCTCTCCTGAATGATATATTTTTTTATGCTTTGTTAAATAATCCATTTTAACAATTCTACCACACTCATCACATTCAAGTGTTTTATCTTGTGAATGAGTTTTAATATGCCTTAATAAACGCATTTGTGTAACAAATTTTTTTTGGCATATTTCACATTCATGTAGCAACTCACCTGAATGTAACTTTTTATGAATGATTAAATAATTATAAGAAGCAAACTTTTTAAGGCACACATCACACTCGTGTGATCTCTCTTCTAGATGAGTTTTTCTATGTCTATTCAAGCTAAGTTTTGTAGCTAACTTTTTATGACAGATTTCACATTCAAGTATCATCTCTCCTGAATGAATTTTCGTGTGTACATTTAAATAACTTTGAGAATGGAACATTTTATGACATACATGACACTCATATGATTTCCCTTCTGAATTAAAGTTTTTAGCCAAAATTGAACTATCTGAATCAGCATCAGATTTGTTGTGTCCCATAAATGCAAGTTGTCTCTCTCCAACAGTAAGAATTATTGAATCTTCATCCAAATCATTACTTTGTGGCAACACAACATCAGGTTTTATATCGGAAATATCACTAGTAAAGTTAGATTTCTCACATGTCAAACCATCAATGCTCCTCTCATGTATTTGCCTCAGTTCAGATAACTCATTTGATACCTCTGTCTTTATCTGAAAAAAATCATCCGCATGAGTTTCCTCCCTTGACTGGTTAAGCTCTGCATTTGGTTCAATACCAGTTTCTACAAAAGTGGAAATTGCTCTCAAACCAACTGGTTGTCTGTCATGAACTGAAACTTCACTTTGTAACTCATGTTGTATGTCCTCAACTGGTTCCTGTTTAATCACTATTCCACTTTGAAATGCTTCAAAACCTTCAGTGCTTCTCTCCATGTTCAGCTTTTTCTCAATGGTTCTTATGACTGAAAAAACAACATGATTATTATTTCAGCTGGGTTTTAATAAGTACATTCTTGCTTATTTGTTGCATCTTTTTATGAGAAAAACGTTAAACTATTAATTATATTTGACTTTAACATTATTTTCAAAAGCCAAATAAATAAAGGTTTACAAGTTTACATATCCACTTTAGACTATTATTCCAGTACAATTGCCAACGCAACATTGGCGTTTTACCTTTAGTTGTTTATTTTAGGTTTAATTAAAAGTACAAATCTAGTTTACAAACAAAAATGAAAACAATGCAGCCAGACCTTAGGTCTAACCCTGTAACATATGTATTGGCCATCATGATTACTACTTTGCCACACCCCTGCATATTGATTTAATAACATTTAATTCTTTTGAATTTAGATCAAGTGGGGAATTATTTGTGTAGGAGGAAGATTACTCTTTACACATCGCAATCCATTGGGCAGATGAAGTAGAGTTCATATTTTTGTATGAGCTAGGGATTTATTAAATTTAAAAAAAAAAGAAAAAATGCTATCCAATCCACAAGAAAGACGTCAAACATAATAAAATGTTTAACAAAGGTTTCTACAATTTGACGAAACTTAATGTAGGTGTGAATATGCATTATGTGGCTATACAGAACTGTGTCCTAATAGCCATCCATGGCTATAATATTTTTTACAGAACAGAGTCCAAATAGCCACTTTTCTAATCTCACTACTACCAAAATCATTTTTAAGATCTACACTACAAAGATCTAGATTCTAAACTGTACTAGTCAAGAGAGAATATTAAATATTACTAGAGATTTAAATTCTAAAATCTAATTCAACTTACTAAGTTTAATGTTACTGATCTAGTACAGTGACAAGTTTCTAGTCTAGTAATATTTTTGTATATTCTGGTGAGGATTTTTAGAATTGATAATTATCACTAGAATGAAGTGTAGCAAAGTGACAAGTCTCTAGTCTAGTCTTCTTCTTCGTTCTTAATTTTTAGTGTTGGAAGGCATCGAGCCTTATCTGCCAGAGGGTTTGAACTCAAGACTTTTTTGAATTTAACAACCATGAACTTTGCCGACTCAACCACGCCTCCAAAACAATTAAGTATACATGTCAACTGGTTATGCACCATTGAGGCCATTGACTCAGATTTTAGCCTGCTTTTCTTTTTGGATTTGCTTCCATAGCTTTTTGTCCAACCAAGAACAAACTACAAGGCAGCAGTTGTTTGATTTTGGAGTTATGTCTCCTAGAAGAGTGGCTGTCCCCAGCTAACGAGCCTCATCTGCCCGTGTGGTTGCTAGATTCTAGATCTAGTCAAATTCACATAGAGCTAGCCAAAATATTAAAACGATCACTAGATCTAGATTCTTAGTATGTAGATATAGATCTATTCACTATCACAAACAAAATATCATAGATCTACTAGAGGTCTAGATCTATTCTAGATTCTAGGCATACTTCAACTTGAATTTTAGTTCATTAGTTTGTTGTGCTCAAACAACTTACTTTACTTCAACTCAACACGACTCACATAGATCTAGATAGTCACATAAACTAATTAAGTATAAAATAAAGCAGATCTAGAATAATAATTTTATGTGCATCACCCATCGCTAATTAATTCTAGATCTAGGCCTATTCTTATTTTTTTTTAGATCTAAATCTAGCTAGATCTAGTAGGGTGTTGGGAAATTGCGGAATCTCGGGAAAATAGCAAGACACAATTTGCGAAAACAAATTTTGTTTCTTTTTTTTACGTTTTATAGTTATAAACTAAAGAAGATGATATATCACGAATGTTGTGTGTTCTTTTTTTTCATCTAATTTGATTTTATAGAATCAAACAATCTTAACTCTTAACATCCTCTGACCACTGGTCTCGTTTTCTTGTCAGCGGGAGAAGAATCCTGTCTTGATAGACGGGTCAGTGCGAGTTCATAAACAGAATATTATTTTACACTAGGCCTATATTTTTAAAATAAAAATATATACCTCTATTATAGACTATATCACGTGACCAACGTTTTTTGCACCCTTTATGCAGTTTAAGGCCTCGCAATTTCCCAACATCCGATCTAGTAGCTAGATTAATTGGTAATCTATCGTTTTGGGTACGTAAAATCGCCTGCGGCTATTAATGTACAAAAACGTTACCTCATTGTCAAGGCTTTAATAGAGGCATATTGTCATATGTGTCAAATATTATAGATAAATGAATAATAAACCTAAATCAATGGCAAAATATATCGATATAGGCCAGAAATTAACTTTAAACAGCAGTGTCTGAGAGCAAGATTTGCTATATAAACAGCAGTAATTTGTAAAATAGAGTGGCTTCCCCCTGAATCTCGTGCTATACTATAAGCTTATTAAAATAAAACTTAAACAAGATGGCTGCTATAGTAAATGAGCATGGTTGCATCTGTTGGAAACATCGCTAGTCTTCATTTATTACTGAAAAGTTTTAATTCAATTGCTTAAAAACATGTAGAATCTACATAAATGAAACAAGGAAACATTTTTGTATTTTAAAAACCATAAATCCTCATCAAAATGTGAAATAATTAGGCCCTGTTAAAATTTAAAAATTTAAGGAGTCACCTGTTTTTCACATTACAAGTCGCGGGCAATTTTACGTACCTAAAACGATAGATAACCGATTAATTAATAATTATATCTAGCTAGATTAAAATTGATTAAATAAATAGTACGCCCTAGTCACCCCTAGTGCTAGTGCCTAGATCTAGTACTAGAATCTAGTTAGTTATTGTAGTTAAGTAGTAGGCCTAGAATCTAGATCTCCTAGAGTTAACCACTAACTAGTACTAACTAGGCTTATAGATCTAGGAAGTAATTTATTTTAGTAAAGCAGCTTTACTAAAGTAACTTAACTAAAGCAACAAAGTTACAAAGGCCAGTAAGCCTGAGTAAGCTGAGTAAAGGCCCAGTAAAGGGAGTAAAGGCGTAAAGGACAAGAAAAAATTGTTCACAGTACTAGATCTACCTATAAACTAGATCTATAATGTTTTATAGTTCAATAATTAGATGCTTTATTAATCAATTATTAGATCTCTAGATAGATCTAGATATTGTTCTAGATCTAGATTTCTAGCTGCCATCAAATTAAATGACATTGTTAATTATCAGAAGATTAAAAAAAATCTTGTCGCCAAGTAATGCCAGTTAAAATTTATAACGACACTGCCAGAGAACAATAAGTTTGCATGCCAAAACATGAGTTTCAACGCAACATTTACTTTTTTAATAAATATGAGTTAGAATCTAGGCCTGCTTAATATTATTTATATTACTGGTGAGTGTGTTGAAGAACTAAAATGTGAGTGCTCGCACGTTGATAGACAGTGGTGCAGCTACAGTAGTTGGAGCCTGGTGCGTACTATTTTTCTTCCCAATTTACCACATTTACTTCGTAGCAGTGCATGTAGGTAAATGGAGGAGAGGCACTGATTAGCATTCGACATTCTGCACACACGAATGAATTAATATTATTATTCACCTAGGCCCACCCTAGTGCAAGTCGTCCAAGAAATGAAACAGATTAAAAACACCACACCCGAATTAACACTTGGCCACAGATTTTTTAAGGCGATAACAACTGCACTCACGTTTAGCAATGTTAATGCCTATTCAACCCTTTGAAGCTTATCCAATTGCATCAAATAAATTTACGTATCAATGTTGTAGCCGAGTTTGGTAGCTGCACTGCCCAGTATAAAAGACTGTCCCTTCTTGACTTGTATTCGTAGTCACTAAACTTCCTCTTGTGTAAGCCACTCAGGTAAGGTTTTTTCTTGTGCTCAAGGGCTTAGGTAAGTACTTAACAGGACATTACCAGTCAGTTGTTGATTTAAGGATGGTGCATATTTTGAACAATGCATTAGTGGTAGGGGTGACATACTATTTGGAAGTATTGCATTATTTTAGTTGTGTCGCGATCTAGATCTAGAGAGTTATATAACACTGCATTTCAGTTAGTGTATTATTTTTACAATGGATAAATGACTGAGTTGACTCAATTGGTTTATAGGCCTACAATATTTGTTTTCTTTTAATGTAATTTAAGTCTAATGATATATCTAATGAAGGTTGTTTATTTGTTTTTAAATATCACTTAAATTTTTGTATTAGCCTTTGCCTTTTTGTCGTAGTATAATTGAAGGGTTGGGGTTCTAAATATGTTATATTGTGCAAGGATTTGTGGTTAATGAAATGCTATTTAATGTAAAAGAGGATGGGGGAAATATGTCAAAATTAATTTTTTCCTTTGTTTAACAGTTAAGCTATTCAAAGTGTTTGTAAAAATGATGGTTTATAAGTTTGTCAACATTTTAACTGAAAAAATCGTGGTTTTGCTGCAAGTTTGTGTTAATTTAAATTGACTTTTAACTTTTCTTTTATGAAACTTGTCCTATCGTCTTATTTCTGTTTGAGTTATACAAATGTAGACAAAAATAAACGATCCTTTATTTAAAAGTTTAAAAACAAATATTTGAGGATATGAGAATATACATAGAAACATTTTAAAAATCATAATCCCCCTCTCCCATTAAGATATCGATATGTTAATGTTTTTATAAGGGGTCATCCATAAATGACGTCACGCTTTTTTGGACGATTTTTACCTCCCCCCTCCCCTTCGTCACACGTCGTCACAAAAGCCAGACCCCCTCCCCTAAAATGACGTCACACCTCAGCCTACAACACCCCCCCCCCCCTCAAAATTGCAGTTGCATTTTTTTAAACATCGCAATTTTTCCAAAATTTGTCAACTCAGTCAACATAGAGTATTTTGATCAATTTCTATTACAATTTATTAAAACCGTTTTCTAAAACGCGAAATAACGGTTAAATAACTCGTTTTCTAACATTGCTTTTTTATAATGCAAATAAGTGACGTCACACCATCTGCACCCCCCCACCCCCTCTCCCCCTCATCACACACTGTCACAAAATTACGGACCCCCCTCCCCCCTACGAGTGTGAAGTCATTTATGGACGACCCCCATGCCTTCAAAAACGTTTTGCATCAGTATTGTACAATTAATCGAGTTAATTCACCAAAAGCACCCATTTCCCCCCACAGTTAACTTTCTTCTTCTTCTTCTTCTTCTTCTTCTTCTTCTTCTTCTTCTTCTTCTTCTTCGTTCTTAATTATTAGTGTTGAATGGGATCGAGATTTATCTGCCAGTGGGTTTGAACTCGAGACTTTGTTCGAATTTATCAACCATGAGCTTTTTGCCGACTCGACCACGCCTCCAACACAATTTAGCGTTACGTGTCAACTGGTTATGCGCCAATGTGGCCATTGACTCCGATTTCAGCCTGCTTTTCTTTTTTGGATTTGCTTCCAACTTCTTCAATCTTTTGCTTTTCAGCTCGGAGCAAGTACCAACATGGCCAATATGAAGTTCGTCCTCTGCTTGGCGCTCGTCGCCTTAGTCGTAGTTTCCTACGCCCAGGGTGAGGGCAGCAAAAAGGGCAGCGGCGGTAGTTCCAGCAGTTCTAGCTCCGAGAGCCGTAGCAGTTCTAGTAGTTCCAGCTCTGAGAGCAAGAGCAGCTCCAGTAGTGATCGCTCCGGCCGAAACAGCAGAGCTGGAACGAAGAAAAAACAATAAAAAGGGTCAGACACTGTTATGTTATGTCTTATTAGTTTTTGTTACGTCCCTTAATTTTATATAACATTGTTATGTCCCTTGATTATGTAGTCTGTGTGTGCACTTACACCACTGATTGTGAACGAGAGGAAAGAGTTTACCGCGTGTTTACCGAGACAGTTTTCAACATAGTTATAACATTGTTAAGTAAACTGGATGGCATCAATAGTGCTTTGTTAAAAAATGATTTTCTACACCAAAAAGGCTTGTGTTTTAAAATAGCAACTTAGGTTTTACTGTAAATAGTATTTGTTTTGAAGTAAAACAAAACCATTTAGAGGTATATCAATTTGCTTTCATCATTTTTATTTTGAATTTTTTAAGTAGGCCTAGTAGTAGAAGATAATAATAATAATGCAAGAAAATTATTTAAATCTGTTAATGTTTTTGTTAGCGTTAGTAATGTTTATTAAGTACGTCTTTCTGTATAAACAAATGCATTTCATATTACCTAGAAAAGTTCAAGCTTTTCCATAGAAATCAGTCTGGGTTTAGAAAGTTTCATTCTTGTCACACTGCTCTGATTAAGATGAATGAAAACTGGCTTATAAATATTAACAAAAACCTACTCTGTGGCTCGCTGTTTGTCGATTTCAGAAAAGCCTTTGATTCTATTGATCACACCATACTTCTTAAAAAACTAATTCCATACAAATTCCACGACTTTACAGTTAGGTTACTTCACTCCTTTTTATCTAACCGATCTCAACGCGTGTTTCACCTTAATACCATCTCTTCACAGAAATATGTTAATATAGGGGTTCCACAGGGCTCAATCTTAGGTCCTTTACTTTTTTCTTTATACATTAATGATCTTCCATTACATATTGACGCTGGTCAGTGCGAGATGTTCGCTGATGATACTTCTTTGCATGTCTTTGCAGACAGTGCTGAGTCACTCAGTTACAAACTTCAAACATGTGCCAATCAGCTTGCAACTTGGACAAAATTTAACAAAATGAAACTTCACCCCGATAAAACCAAGTCAATGTTTATTACAACTCATCAGAAACGCCTTCGTCTTCCATCCACCGCATTAAACATTACTATAGACAATTCAAACATTGAACAGGTAGACAGTTACAAATGCCTAGGATTGTTTATAGATCACAACCTCACTTGGTCTGACCATATTCATTTTCTAAGAATGTCCTTATTAAAGACAACCTTTCAGTTAGCAAGGATAAAGAACTTTCTCAACTATAGGAGCAGGCTGGTTTTTTATGAGGCTTTTATTCAATCCAGGTTGGATTATGCTTCTGTAGTGTGGAGCGGCAGCTTTATTTCTAAGCAGCGTCCTCTTCTTTCTTTACAAAAAAGGGCTATAAAACTGGTTACTGGCTTGTCTAGTAGTATGGATTCTTTTTTTACAACTAAAATACTTCCATTAAATAAAAAGATAATATATACTAAATCAATTTTCTGATATAAAATATTCCACGAAACAGCCCCCTCTTACTTATCAGATCTATTTTCTTTTAACATAAAATTAAATCGTCGTCTCAATTTACCATTCCCTTATTCAACCTTTTTCCAAAAACATAGCTTCGCCTACTCTGGTTCTAATTTGTGGAACAATCTTCCTAATAAAATAAAGCTATCTAGATCTGAAAATATATTCAAATCTAAATTAAAACTAAAATTATTTAATGACCTAACTGACTCATTGTAACATTTCTCATTCATCTATTATATTCACTTTTTTATCTCATTATGTATGATAGCTATGTACCATTGTTTCTTTATTCCACATTTTCAGTGCTATGTGTTACTGCTATGTGTTATTGAATTGCTTTATTTGTTTAAACGGCCAATGTGAAAAAAGGCCTTTGTGTCTACAATTGTAACCGTTGTTTGAATAAATTTGAATAAATTTGAATTTGAATAAATTTTACGTTGTCTTAAATCTGTTTCTAAGTGCATATATGTTATGCATTCTAAAAAATTATAAGATAGTAAAATTATTTATGGAAAAATCCATAAAGACAATATGTTATCTTAACAAAATTTAAAAGAAATTTTATTTCATAAATAAATATTTTATAAATTTAAAAAAAAAATGTCTTTTTATGTTTTCAGACTGCGAGACACTGACACACGTCTGTGGCTAGGAGTTAGCTCACAACGAGGGCAAACTGTTGAAAAAAAAACCTTGTGAATAAAATAAATAATTAAATCAACTGTTTTACGAAACAATGTCTTTTTTTTTCTTTAAATTATCAACTATCATTACCATATTTTATGTTTAGTATCTTAAACAACGAATCCAACGACCCACAAAAGGACTTCATCTAGTTCCCACAATATGCGGATCTTCTTCAAACATTCAATAAGGGTTAGTTAATAAAACAAAGTGGGACGGCGTGGCCTAGCGGTAGTGCGCAATACTGCTGAACCAAAAGTCTCGAGTTTGAATCCGGGTTCAAGTCAGTGGTACGTCTCTGAATCCATCCAGCTCTGATGGGTATCCATCCAAAAATGTTGGATACTAAACTCAATTAGGGAAAGCATTATCTATTCATATGCTGAGGTCAAGAAACTTATAAACCCTACATCATCTGCCCAATGGATCGTTTCGAATGTTTAAATAAACCGGGAGTGATCTCCCCTAAACTTTCTCGAATATTCATATATAAAACAACAGGGAATGGGAACTCGGGCTATAGACATGATTTTTAAT